TTTTGAGAGGCAGAGATGAAGAATATGTTCATCTCAAGCATGAGAAACAGCACAAAGCATAAAGGTTGAAGATAGAATGGGGGGGTGGGGAGAGAGAGAAGAGTAATGTGAAAACCTGGATGGAAAACTAAATAGTCCAATTGAGAAGGGCTTAAAATTCGAGCCTGTATGTCTTTTGTCACAAAAGCTAAGGATTGGAAGGAACTTCAGAGGCTATTCTAGTCCAACTCACACGTGGAAAAAGGACCCCAACTACATCACACTTAAAAAGTGGTCACAAAGCCTTGGCTTGAATGTTTCCAACAGGGAGGAACCCACTTCTCCCCAAGGCTGTCCATCCTGCTCTTGAATAGCTCTAATTGTTCATTTCTCCCAAGATATCAAGTCTAAATATGCCTCTTTGCAAAGAGGCAAACTTGAAGATAGCTGGCATGTCCCTACTAACCCTTCATCAGGTTAAACATCCTTAGTTCTTTCAAATGATCTTTATATGGTATGACAGAGGTCTTTCATTCACCTCCTTGTCCTCCTCTGATCACTGTCCAACTAACCAATGGCTTTCTTAAAATATGGGGCCCAGAACTAAACATAATACTCCATATATAGTCTGAACAGGGCAGAATACACTCTCCCTTCACAAATTACCTTGCATTTTGGATCCCATGTTTCTTAATAGAGCCTGATCATATCAGCTTTCTTGGGTGTACATTAAGGACTTTGAAAAGCACTGGATTTACAACGATAAAAAGAGAAAGCAATCCCTACTTCAAAGGAACTCAGGCTGTACTGGTGGGTACATTTAAGCAGCTAAATTGTTCAATAGGTCAATAATTTGAAGTTGGAGAGCAGTAACTGGGCGGTGGGTGCCCAGGAAATGCTTCTCTTAGGTGAAAACTGAGCTGTCTTGATGTGAAGGATTCTCAAAAGTTGAGCTAGGAAAGCATTCCAAACTTAAGGCATAGCCTGTACAAAAGAAGATATAAAACATGGAATGCTGGGTTTGGGGAACAGCAGGCCAGTTTTACTGGAGTGTCAAGTCTGTGGTGTTCAGAAAGTTAGACTGAACCAGATTGTGAAGAACTTTTAAATACCAAACTGAGCAGTTTCTGTTGTTTAGTCATGTTTCAGTTGTGTCTGATTCCCTGTGACCCTTTTTGGGTTTTCTTGGTAGATACTGCAGTGGTTTGTCATTTCTTTCTCCAGTTTATTTTACAGATGAGGAAACTGAGGCAAAGTTAAGTGACTTGCCCAAGGTCACATAGCTAGCGTCTGGGGCCAGATTTAAACTCAGGAAGATGAGTTTGTATTTTATCCAAAACGCAATTATACTCCTTGGAGTACAGTAGTGGCAAGGTCAAAATTGTGCTTTAGGAAGATTATTTTAACAATTATAAGAATAGAGACAGAAGAGACTACAAACAGGGAAATGGCTTTTGCTTTGGATCAGGTGAGAGGAGATAAGGTTGTCTAAACTAGAGTGGCGACCTAGTGCAATGAAAGGGTAATGAGCTAGGAAACTATTTAGATACCAACGACCTTATCAGGAAAAAAGGAAGTTTGCTAGGTGTGGTTTGAGGGGAAGGGAAAGATGAAATTTTTTTTGAATATGTTGAAAGACACCTATGGGGGGCAGCTAGGTGGCACAGTGGATAGAGCACTGGCCCTGAAGTCAGGAGGCCCTGAGTTCAAATTCGGCCTCACACCAAACACTTGACACTTACTAGCTGTGTGATCCTGGGCAAGTCACTTAACTCCAATTGCCTTAAAAAAAAAGACACCTATGGGACAGCCACATAGAGCTATCTTGAAGATCTGATCACGAGGGAAGGCTAAGCCTAGATATGATTTGGGAGACATACATGGAAAGATAATTAAATACATGGTCACTGATGAAAACAGAGGTGTAGAGAAAGGGCCCAGCACAGAGCTTGAGGGACACAAAGTTAGGGCAAAAGACATGGATGACCAGAAGAAGACAGGAAAACAAACTGGTAGAACCAGCCGAAAACCAGACGCTATCTATCAGGTGAGGCCATCGAGTCAAAAGCAGCTGTTTGTAAAGTTTAAGAAAAAAGGCCATCAAATTTAGTCCTTGGAGAAGTTTGTTGAGGGTTGGAACAGAAGGTTAGGTTGCAAGGGAATAAATGGTAATGAAGGCAGTATTATTTGGATGGGGAGAGATAGAGGATTAATTGTAGGTCTAAGGGATGGCAGCAATTGAAGATTTTGCAAATCTGGAAGACCTGAGGACTATGTTTACAGGAAAACAAAGGAGCCTGATAAGGAGAGGATATGATCCAGAGGGAAGATTAAAGAAAGAGTGGGGGAGGGATGGGATGAAGAGAACAAGTAGATCAGGTGGTCACAAAGACATTAAAACCCTTTGAATTTCGGTCAATATTGGTGGAAATGAATCTTTGAACTCGTGTTTAATGCTTTGTATCCCTGGCTTATCAAACTTAGTGTAACAGTCTAGCCTCTCAATGTTTTTGGATCTAGTTATCCTTAACTTTGAGGCAAAAAGCTTCTGCAAGTAGGAAGCCAAACATTCTGCTCATCTTTCTTCAGGGCTAAACTCAACCATCTCCTCCAATATGAAGCTCTCTACCTACTCCTTCCCCAGTGTGGGCGAGTTTCCCTTTCCCCCCCAATTATTAGGTGTATGCTGCTTCACTATTATACCTAGAAGACATTTGTGTGTGTGTGTGTTTCAGGATGTTTTAAGGTTACTGGCACACCCTAATATTCAAATAGAATTCTGACCCATCTTTTAATGACTGCTTTGGCTGATACCTCCTTCACAGAGCCATCTTTCCTTCATTAGGTCTTTTTTGGCATTTCATCTAGCATAATAAACTCTATAGGTACGTTTGGCAAAGTCTACGATTTCTCCTGGTTTTTTTGGTTTGTTTTTACATTTTTATCTATCAAACTTAATTACCATTGACTTTTGGTTGTCTTCCAAAATTGAATCCTCAAATAATGAAGATTTACCCTCCTTGTAAAACAGACAACTCTGAAGGCAATTCTAAAAATGCTTCCTGTGATGACAGCATTGTGGAAATGGGCTTGGATGTTGAGTTCTTCGTTTCCTCATGTTATAGGTAAAACACACATGGTCTATCAGTGTGGACAAAAAGGACTATATGACATTAATGTTTAAGTGAAAGAAGAAGAGTTTCAAAGTAGTGTTTTCAATTAAATTCCTTTAAAGGGAAGGCTGACATTGTTTTGTTTTTCAATATCCTTAGCACAGTGCATAGCAGGCACTCAACTACCTGTTGAATTTGTAAAAAATCTAGTATAACTCAGCTCACAGAATGAATGCACAAATTGTGGTCCAGGGATCCCTAGAGGTATGCAAGGTCAAAACTATTTTCATTGTAACACTAATGCACTTTAATTTGCTATATGGTAAATGCATATACAAACTAAAGCCCTTTACAGAGAGAGGTCCTGAAACTAAAAAGTTTTAAGAACCCCTGGCACAGAGCAAGGACTAAGTAGCCTTGAAATTAGCTTCTGTTGAAAATGAGAAATGTTGGAGAAGATAGGGGAAAATTGGAACACTAATGCATTGTTGGTGGAGTTGTGAAATGATCCAACCATTTTGGAGAGCAATTTGGAACTATGCCCAAAGGGCTATAAAAATGTGCATACCCTTTGACCCAGCAACAGTACTTCTAGGGCTATATCCCAGAGAAATCATACAAATGGGAAAAGGACCCACATGTACAGAAACATTCATAGCAGCTCTTTTCGTGGTGGCCAAGAATTGGAAATTGAGAAGATGCCCATCAATTGGGGAATGGCTGAACAAGCTGTGGTATATGAATGTAATGGAATACTATTGTGCTATAAGAACTGATGAACAGGCTGACTTCAGAAAAACCTGGAAAGACTTGTATGGTCTGATGCTGAGTGAAATGAGCAGAACCAGGAAAAGTTTGTACACAGTAATAGCAACGTTGTGCGATTACTAATATTGATAGACTCAACCCTTCTCTGCAACACAAGGATCTGAGACATCTCCAAAGGTCTCATGATGGACAATGCTACCGACACCCAAAGAAGGAACTATGGAGTTTGAATGTAGATCAAAGCATACTATTTGCTATTTTTTTCTTCTACTGTGTTTTGTTTCCTCTTTCTGGTGGTTCCTCCTATTGGTTCTAATTTTTACTTACAACATCACTAATGTGAAAATATATTTAATAGGAATGTATATGTAGAACCTATATCAGACTGTGCCCCATCCTGGGGAGGGAGGTGGGGAGGGAGAGGGAGAAAAATTTAAAATTCAAAAGCTTATGGAAGTGATTGTTGATAATTCAAAATAAATTAAAAAAAAAAACCAGAACAATATTTGTCCATCTCCAGGCTTCTAGAATTGCTCACATTCTCCAAGATTCTTCAAAGATCATTAAGAGTGGTTCCATTATCAAAACTACAAGTTCTTTCAAAATCTTAGCAACTACTGCATGGCAGTCTGGAGATTGGAACTTATTTAACGTTGTAACATGGTATAATAAAAAAAATATTAGAAAGATAAAAAGAAAAAAAAAAGAAATTGGCTCCTGTTGCCACCCCCACCCCCACCCCCACCCCTCCACCCTACCCAGTACACATCTACCCCAGAGTAGGGATGGGAAACCTGGGACCATGAGGCCATATGTGGCCTTCTAGGTCTTTGGGTGCAGCCTTTCGACTGAGTCCAAGTTTTACAGAACCAATCTTTTTATTACAGGGATTTGTTCTATCACGTTTGGATTCACTCAAAGGGCTGCACCTGAGGACCTAGCAGGAACCTCGAGGCCGAAGGTTCCCCTTCTCCCCCAGAGCGTGCAATCTCAGCCATAATCCACTTAAATTTCAAAGAGGCTCACCCCCCAAACATTGTACCAATTAATTAGCCTTACCTAAAAAAACATACAACATAGGGTAAAACACATGATCCCACTGACACACCTAAATGTCAGGTGATAAGAGTACTAGGTCCAGACAAACAAAGAAAAAGAATTTTTTATTAGCATTGTTACAGGCAATGCATACATATGAACTGATCCTTAAAGTGTACAACCCCAACCAAGCTTTAAGCAGATAAATCAGCAGAGTGAAATCTATATTGTACACATGTGCAGAAATAGGATCACCCTGGAACTTCAAACAGAAGAGTGAAATTCACTTTACAAAAAATGTAAATAAAAATAACACCCATTTTATTTTAAAAAAGTACCATCTCTTTAAGTGGCAGAGCATTAAAAATACCAAAGAAATATTTTGTCCAATTGAATTCCTATTATAAGGTCTGAATATTGCATTGCTCACCCTCTGCACATGCCAGGCATTTTCTGGTTTTTAAAGCTTAATTTAAAGAGTTTCAGAGCCCTGCCTTCTGTAGTACTTTAAAATGTTTAGTTTTTGATTTCTCAGTTGTTATTTGAATTTCTTAAGTGTATCAGCATAACAATTTGCTAACTTACATCACAGGGCAGCTATAAGTAGTAAGACTGAAGTTTTCCCTTTATGAGGCTTAAATCTGAAGTAAAGAATGAAATAAATGAACACCAGTCTTAAAAAGTTAAATGATAATGAAGTCAATGCCAATTTAGAAAAGCACTCTTAACCTTAGCTTACATGTCTACTTTGGTAAATATTAATCTTTAACCAGTTAGCAAAATATTTAACCAAGTTAGCAAAATTAACACCATCATTTCAGAAGATACTCTTTTGTGCATAGTAAATGTTGCAAGATGGACTTCACATTTGATAAAGCAGACTTTGATGGGGGGGAGGGGAGGAAGGGGACAGTAGTTTACAAGAAAGTGTGACTCCCTTTCAATACCAATTTAAGCTCAGGGAAATGAACCATAGGCTTCTTGCAACTACTGTTGATCTATAGTGGTGGATAAATAAGTGCAATCATTAAATTGTCTGATATCCAGCATGACTTCTCTTTCTTCCAATGAGATAAGCAATCAAGACAATGAGGACCAGTCCAGCAAGCGCGCCACCAACAGCTATGGGGATCAGCATGTTGTTTTCATCCAGAAGACATTCCTCCACTAAAATGAAAAGGAGGCATCAAATGGTTAAATGAGAATTTTTTTTCTCCAAAATTAAGCCCTTCTTTAAAAGAGACTTTGTAGCCTCATTCCTGACTTATATAAATATCAATTGCGGGGGGAGCTAGCTTGAAGAGGACAGCAGACTATACAAACCCAGCAAATACAAAGCAGAGCAAATCCATTCCTTCCATCACTAAAGAGCCATAATCCTTAAAGTAATTACACTGTTCCTAAACATTTAGTATAACTTAAGAGTTACAAAGAACTCTTAAATTATGCTATTTATCACAGAAAGAGTAATTCTCCACCCCATAGAGTCTAGATTTGAAAAAGAAAGGTAGCATTATAGAAGAGATTAAAAACAGGAATCTATGATCTTACTAATCCATAGGATCCCATCCTGGTAAGATTACTTTAAAGCTTTCGAGGAGACTACTGAAGACCTGCAAATATTTTAAATAGGTTTTACTTACCTGATCCAAATTTGTCACCTTCAACTTTGAAAGCCTGGACCCAAACTCTGAATATGTTGACTGAAAATGAGTCTGTGACTTGAACATTTTCTTCTGCATTACACTTGTAAGAATTCCCTACAGTGGCTTGTAGCTCCTTCAATGAATCATTGAAAGCTTCAAAAGTGGGTTCTATATAATACATAAAGTTTTTAAAAAGTCAAATATAATTCTGCAGAATACTAAGAAAAGCGTAAGTTACTCACGATCAAATGAAAATAAGAGTAAAACTCTTACGTTTAGCATCAGGCAAAGTTGTATTTAAGAGGATCCCTTGCAGGAAAAACTTGCTGGTAGTTGCATTCTTAAAAAAAAAAAAGACATTAAATGTTATACATATTTGATAATAAGACTGGTCAAATAGAACCCTGAGTTTGGAACCAGAATAAACCTACACGTGTTTAGAGAAGTCACAGCAACTATTATGAGGGAGATAAATTCCCTCAGCAAGCTCTTCACAGAATCAGAAGAATTAAGTAGTAACTTATATTTTGCTAAAGCAACATGGTCTAATGGTACTTTTCTTGGATGATGGTTCAAACAGAAAAGAAACATGAATAGGGAATGAAAGACTCATTCCATTATTTTTTCCATTTTTTTTAAAAGACCTGTGATTTCATTGGCATTTGTGATAACAACCTCCCACCCCAACAAACACTCTCTGGAATGTGTAGTTTTAAATTTGCCTAAGGTACAGGGAAAGTAAGTGACCGGTTCAATGTTACTAAGCCAGTATATGAGAGAAGTGGGATTTCAACCTAGTCTTTCTTTTTCTGAGGCCTCATACTATAATACCTATTCCTACCCTTCCTCATTTCTAAATGATTCCTAAATCTATTAAAAAAAATACTCCATATTATCAACTCAATTCAACAAGGATTTTTTAAGAACCTACAATGTGTTGGGTACCATGCCAGATGCTCAGTAGGAAGATAAAAAGAAAACAATCCCTTTCCCTCAAGGAGCTTGCATTCTACTGGGGGAGGAAGAAGAATTCCTGTGTAGTTATAGATATAATATATACAAAGAAAATATGGAAGTAGTTTGGAGGGGGTGGGGACAATTGGGGGCATCAGAAAAGGCCTTGTGTAAGAAGGGGCATTTGAGCTGCTTTGAAAAGAGCCATACTCAAGCTGAGGGGAGGCAGGGACTAAAGAAGGACATCATTCCAGGCAGAAGAGATAGTGTATGCCAAGGCACAGAATTGTGTACAGAGAACAGCAAGTGGGTCAGTTCAGTTGAACACAGAGAATATTAAAGGAATAATGCAAAATCAGGCTCCAAGGATAAGACAGGTTCTGAAAGGCCTTTTAAAAGGCCAAACGGAGGGGTTTGTGTTTTACCCTAGAGACAAAAGGGAACAACAAAAGTTTCTTAAAGTAAAAGTGTGGACAATGAGATTGCAGAGAAAAGCAGAAGTACAAATGAAAAGGTGAGAGGTGATAAGGCCTGAAATAGAATGGTGGCCGTGTGATTAAAAAAAGGGATGACTCTCATGCCAGTTGCTATCAAACCCTTTGTTCTCAGGACTCCTTTGCATTCTCCTAAAGTAATTGAGGACCCCAAAGAGCTTGTGTTCATGTCAATTATATCTATCAATATTTATCATGTTAGAAATGAAAACATCTTTTGTATCATTATAAAGAATTTTGACATTGAAGACTTCCCACACTGGACCATACTTTGAGAATTGCTGCTCTAGGATAAGATTCTCAAGAATTTTAAATTATTTTGTTATTCTGCCAGTGTCTAAGAAAAACTAAATCTAGAGTATACAGTCCCCCGTTTCTAAGTTTGACACTACTGCCTTACAGCAACAGATCCATGAATTTCCGGGGCCAAGGTCCTCAATTAATTCCAACATGACTATACTGAAAGATTGACTTGCTCCTCCTAAAATACACCTTTTGAAGCCAAGGCCAAACCTGTCAGCTCTTCTGTTTTCACCCTGAGTCATCTGAGGACCTCGATATGCAGTCACCTATCAAAATGATTCTTGCTTTTTGCTAAGACTTAAAACACCTAAAGATTGGCTAAACTGAAGCAAGTATAGTATCCCCTTCAAAGTCCTCCTCCATCCGCCCCTCTTCCAAGTGAAAATTATTACCATTCCAAAACGGAAAACAAGAGTGGAATTTTCAGTGTACAGCTCCAAGACTGCCACTTTCGGGCTACAGCTTCCATTTACAGCAGTCTTATTTGGGTTGATATTAAATATTCTTCTAACACTCTAATGGGAAAAAAAAGTTAGCTATTATTCCATGGATCATTTGTAGAAAAAAATTACATTACGGTTTGTTCTCAAACTGTTTCCAAATAAACTATTTTTTCTTCTTCCTTGCTCTATTATGACAAATGTAGACAGTGCCATAGAAATTATTTTTAAAATTAATGAGAAGTCTCTGAGCAAATCCCTAACACTACACAGAGACAGAAACAGCATGAAGTTATTAAAAAAATCTCTTCACAGGCATTACTTAATTTGATTGAATGGTGGACAGCTCTGAAAACCATTGTTTATACTCTGATCTATATCGACGTGGATAACAAAACTAGCTAAAGGATCAAATAACTGATCACACATTGAGGTTTTCCATTTTGGCTGTGTTTCTCAAGTGTTGTTTAAGTGCTCCTGTATGCTGGCCTCACTGTGGCAGTAATAATTTAACAAATATCAACCATATATGTACATCATAATATGTATAATATAGCAATATATTAATATAACATGTACATTAATAGCAGAAACTTCAACTACTTCTCCCATTCCTTGCTCCTGCCAGATTGTGTGCTCTCAATTAATTTCCTTCTTCCTCATTTTTTACTGTTTCTCCTATATCGTGATACTTTTTCATTCATTCTTTAGAAACAATCCTATGCTGTTATATCTTTTTAAAGACCAGCAGGAAGAACATATTAGAAAATGAACACATTAAAAATGTTAAAAGTATATGAATGTGCAGATCTCTGGGTTATCTCAAAAGAATTATCCTCTGCTGTTGTTGGTTATTCCAAAAATGTTGCTTACTAGTATAAAAGAATGAAGCATCCAGAGGTCTAACAAAAAAATGTCCATAGCCCACATCTCCAAAACTTTGGTCAGCTCTGGAGTCTAGAGCTGATCCTTTAATCAAGGGAATTTGCTCTGTGAAGTTTGGAGTCAGTCAAAGGGCGCACCTGAGAATCTAGAGGGCCACATGTGGCCTCCAGGCCACAGGTTCCCACACCCCTGCTCTAGACCATTATAACCCAGAATAAAAAAAGTTAGACACACACAATTTACTTGACTAGGGAAGCAAAAAGATGAGTCATTAATGAGTCCTAGGTAACCAGAGTCTGAGAAAAACTCAATTTTTCACCTAAAGTATTCACTTAGTACAGTATTGATAACTGTATTAAGACAAAGCTTGAATCCAGAAAATACCTCCCTCTGCTTCTTTACATAGGTAGGGAGGCAGGGTCAGCGGAGGAGGAGACTATTAGTGTAGAACAATGCACATACTGTTACATATGTTGGTTGGTTTGAAATGCTTTATCTCCTTTTAAATCTTTGTTAAAAGCGATTGCTTCTTTTGTGTATATTTGGAAATGAAGGTGACATAAAAAAGATCAATAAATGTAAGATTTTTAAGAAGACAAAGCTTATACTAGACTTAAAACTTGGAAAAGAATTACTAGTATCAATTATATAAAACCTAAATTTCTATATGTAGAAAAATTATCACATGCCAGCTGGGTGGCACTGTGGATAGAGTACTGGCCCTGGAGTCAGAAGGACCTGAATTCAAATAGGGCCTCAAACACTTGACATTACTAGCTGTGTGACCCTGGGCAAGTCATTTAACCACAGCTGTCTCACAAAAACAAATAAAAAAAAAACAACAACAAAAAACAAAAATATCTCACTAAAGATGTCATATGCAATGAAAAAAACATACCGTATTGTCTTTTTTCTCATAGGTGATGTTCAGTTGTAAGCCCATGCTGGCAAGCAGACAGGTTCCATTTGGGCCGCTCACATTATACTTGGAAACAGCTGGAGTTTCTGGTGTAGGAGGTGTGGTAGGTGCTGGTATAGGTGCAGTTGTTGGGTGTGTAGTAGGCACTGGGGCTGGGGAAGGTTTGTCCTGACTGCAACGAGTTTCTGGTGGAACAAGGAGAGGTTTGAATGTGGATGATGGAAGGAATGGAAAGTTCCTATTTCTTATAACCATTAACTCCCATAAAATCTAGTGTCTTTAAATAGGGCTAAACTTTGATCTGTTTAGATTCACAGGACTGGAAGAAATCATGAGAGATGAAGGAAATAACATATCTAAAGCCATCAGTAGAATTTTAAAGAGCTCTTGAGAAGGAAATTCCACAGCCTTCTTTGTTAGTCAATGTTAAATATTAAATACCACCTGTCAGAGAATTTTTTTAATACAAGTTGCTTTTGCTATAGTTTACCCATATCCTCTTAATCTATTTTAGTAGAACTGCACTCTCCTATGAATAAAAACTCATCTAAATCTGGAGAAAATGTCTGTTTTTCTGCTTAACCAACATGCCATTAATAATGGTAACAGCTGTCCCCGAATATTTGAATAGTTCACAAAGGTGGCTTTGTCTGTTAAATTAGGGTAGTAACTTGACCCCAAAACCCCAAAGATAATTAAAACCTTAGCTGAAGAAGAACCAGAATGATAGATGTTTTTTGAACAGAATAATACTACTATTTTAAGTATTTTAAATTGTCTAAAATAAAATACATTCAACTCACAAGGTACTATTAACTTCATATGATCATAATGTTTCTTTTTTATAATTTAGTTAATAAAATGTGAGGATTATCCAAAGAAAACACCAATGTATTACTGCTTCAAACTGTCAAGCTGTTATTCAGTTGCAAATAGCATCTACTACCCAAATATTTTTTTTGCTTTATCCTACCAACATTTTTTGTCAATTAGGCAGTGAGTATCTAGCCCATAGAATCTAGTCCATCCTAAGTAGGAGGAAGCTAATCAGTAACTCTCTCTGTTTCATCTCACACCTAGAAATTAATCATCTGATTAATAATAAAAAGTCCATATTGAAAGGCTTTGGGAAGATACAAGCTACTGAACTGTGCATACCCTTTCACACAGCCATACCACTAGTAGGTCAACACTCCAAAAGAAATCGAAGAAAGAAAAGGATCCATATGTACAAAAATACAGCAGCTCTTTTTGCAGTGGCAAAGAATTAGAAACTGAGGGGGTGCCTGTTAATTGGGGAATAACTAAACAAATCACGGTTGGTATATGTATATGACAGAAGGCTATTTATTGTACTATAAGAAATGATGAAGGGGATGGTTTCAGAGAAACATGGCCAAGATTTGTGTCAATTGATGCAAAATGAGCAGAATTGGGAAAGCAACTTATACAGCAACAGTAACATTGTAAAGACAAATAACTTTCAAAGACTTAGGAACTTATGAACATAATGGCCAATTACAATTCCAGAAGACTCAGAGAAGAAACATGCTTCTGAAGTACTGATTTTGAAACCTAATTTTTTTTTGACAAGGTCCATGAAAGAGTTTATTCTACAAATAAAACTTTAGAAAACACAAGTAAAATACATCCAATGGCAGTACAATAGAAATAAAAGCCTAAGTAGAAAACAGAAGTTTAGTGAGGACTATAGCTACTAAGAAGGAAGGGAAACAAGTATTTATTAAGTCCCTACCACAGGCACTGTGCGAAACATTTTACAAACATTATCTCTTTTGATACAACTACCCTGAGAGATAAATGCTATTAATTAATCCCCATTTTACAGTTCAGGAAACTGAAGTAGACTGAGATTAAGTGTCTTGTCCGGAGTCACTCAGCTAGTAACTCTCCGAATTTAGTTTTGAACTTAGGTCTTCCTGATTTTGGGGTCAACATTCTTCATTAGGTCTGTGGCTGCCTAAACCAGAGCAAAATCTGCTTACAAAGACAATTTGCAATTGAAATTTTTATCACTAATTACTTTAATTAATGTCCCATGCTTTAATTAACTGTCCCATAGTTTTTTCAGCCTTTCATATTTTTAATGAATCTTAAGCCTCTTTAAAAAAAAAAAAAAAACTTATAACAACCTCTGGAGTTGTATGCATACTATCACCATGTAATTTCAGGGAATGTGTCTTTCTCAGCTAATTTTAGTGTTAAATACACTCAAGACAACCTGAATTCTGAATTTGTATGTGTAAGGTGGTGCCCTACATGTACTGATACTGTTGGGTCTGGTAATGAAATTAGAGGTTTGTGCTTGTTAAAGCACTGCAAAGGCAGAGATCCTAACTTTCTCTAGAACAAAAAAGGCACCTTAGTCTCGTGGTTCCCTTTCCAAAGAAATATTAAATGGAGTGGTAGAAAAAAGGGAAAGATGGAAAGAAAATTTTGGAACTCGAGTCTTTATAACTATTCATGTAGTTATTCTGGATGTGAGATCTATGTCCAGTGATCACTGAACTGACATACTATTAGAAGAGCTAAATAACTTCAAGATTGGTATTTTTGTGATAAATGAAACTAGAAAAAAAAAAAGTTGCCACTAAATGGAGGTACAGCTTCATGGGCTCTCTTTGCCAGGGAAGAAAAAGAAGTAGTCTGAATCGGTTTCATGGGACACTTGGTCATCTCATTTTTTGCTGTGCCCTTTTAAAAACATGAACAAAAGATGAAGAAATACAAATTTATTCATCAACACATATTGGAGAAGAGGAGATGGTGGAATGAATGTGTATGGAGATGTCAGTAAATGTCAGAAATTATGGTTCAGATTTGAAGTTTTACTTCAAGGGCCAAAAATGTAAAAAGCACTCAGAAGCTTCATGTCAATGTGTCATAGGGGGCAGCTAGGTGGCACAGTGGCTAGAGCACCGGCCCTGGATTCAGGAGGACCTGAGTTCAAATCCAGCCTCAGACACATAACACTTAATAGCTGTGTGACTCTGGGCAAGTCACTTAACCTCACTGTCTCACTAAAAACAAAACAAAACAAAACAAAAAAAGAACGTTTTCCAGTTACTTATCAAAGGATGAGGGAGAGATACTAAGCAACGTTTAACAACTTCAGTCTGACTTGTGAAAAGTGAAAACTGGAAAATAGAAAAAAGACAACAATATAATGACTAGGACAGGGGTGGTGAACCCGGAGCCTCAAGGCCACATGTGGTTTCAAAGCCGAAGGTTCCCCACCTCTGGACTAGGATCTCCCCTGCTTCCTGCAACTTTAAGCAATGGAAAATAGCCACCGAACAAAGAGGCTAAAAGTGATCAGAGAGGCAGCTAAATGGCACAGTAGACAGAGTATCGGCCCTGAAGTCAGGAGGATCTGAGTTCAAATCCAGCCTCAGACACATAGCCCTCACTAGCTATGTGACCCTGGGCAAGTTACTTAACCCCACTGCCTTGCAAAAACAAACAAACAAAAACAAGTGATCAGAAACAACCTAAGCAAGCTAACATCTGCTCTCCTTCCTAAAGAGAAATGTGGCAGCAAAGGGCCACACTAATAACTGTAATGACTGTAAACTACTACAGAAGAGTGGTAAAAGACTACAGGCAGTACTACTGTATAAAATGGTGGGTGAGGGAAAAACACACAATGCTAAGAACATTCATACAATGCTAAGACATCCACAGATAAAACTGGCTGGATAATAAATGTAAATGGAATACAGTTTTCAACATTTCTATGACTATATTTATTATCAGTGAGAAAGGAACCACTACATTCGAGCTCCTAATACTTAGGCGCCCCAATGTGGTATAAATACAAATGGTAATTAAGATGATGCACAATGAAGTACAAAGCACCCTGGATCTGAAGTTAAAAGGCTGAAATATCATGGTTCTGCCACTGTGTGCCTGGGAAAGTCATTTCACACCTCTTGGGACTCAGCTTCTTCATCAATCAATAAGCATTTATTTAAAACACCTTCTATGAACTATGTACACTATGCTGAGCCCTGGAATACAAAGAAAAAGAAAAACACAGTCCCTGCTCTTAAGGAACTCACATTCTAATGGGAAACACAAAGTGAAAATCAATAGGTATGTCCAAGATATATACAGTGAAAATGGGAGGGAGTCTCAGAGGGAAGGGACATGAAGGGTGACTACAGGGAAATGTGTCCTGGTGAAGGTGGAGCTTGAGCTGAATCTGAAAAGCAAGTGAGAAAAGAGAAATTCCAGGTATGGGGACAGCAAGTGCAAATGTATGGAAGGAAAGAGATGGAGTGTTGTCTGGAAACAAGTTGACCAGTATAGCTGGATTCTAGATTCTGTGAAGGCAACCATAAAGACCGGCAAGGCACGCTGTGGCCAGGTTGTAAAGGGCTTTAAATATCAAACAGAGGAGTTTATATTCGATCTTAGAGGTAATAGGGAGCTAAAAGAATTTACTGAGGGGACTGGAGGTGGCATGGAAAGGCTGGGTCCAAAGAAGGAGAACATGGTCAGACCTCAACACCAGGAAATGCTCTCTGGTAGATGAGTGGACAACTTGAGTGAAGAGAGACAAGGCAGACAGGCCCACCTGTATAACGAAGGTACAGAGGACAAGATGACCTCTAAGGTCCCTTCCAAACCTCTAGGATCCTCTGACCTTTCTCTCCCTGCTGTGGTAGCCTCAAGGCAACAGGGAATCTGTAGATTCAAAAGTATAAGATAAAGAAATAGAGAAAAAGTAGGAATGGTTTGGGAGTACTGACTCATAGAACACAACACTAAGCAAGGAGGGAATGACAGGGACATAGTCTTCTTATTAAAAATATTTTGCTTCTTCAACTGAACCTTGGGTTAAAACAAATATTAACTCTTTAAAAATGCATATACTTCTATAAGACTAAGGAGGCTATATGGTATTAGTATTACTGAGATTTGGCTTATGTTGCTTTCCTTTTTAGATCAATTTTTCCTTACAGCAACCATAGTAATCCATCAGATGACAGAATGTAGTTATCTGGATGCCAGCTTTTGTCATCCACAAGCTGTTTAACTGAATTCAGAATGGAAAGGTAGGAAAGGAGACAGGTTAATTTTGCAGCATGAAGCTTTCTGGGAGTTAGGAAAGGGACAGGAGGAGCCTAAAATGAAAGTTGTAGAGAAGGGCTTAGAAGAACACAGGTTTGAATTTTAGTTCTGTCACTTACTAGCTGTTTAATTTTATAGAGATCACTTCCTTTCTGGGCCTTAGCTTCTTCACAGGTAAAATGCCTTTTTATTACTAGATAATCCTAAGTTCCCTTCTAGTTCTATGAACCATAAGACCGAGGTTCTGAGGAGAAGGAACCAAGTTTACCTATTTCCAAGTGTCTGTGTATAATTTTCATCCCCCTCAAAAGAGAAGTCTTATTTATGTCTCGTGACCTTTTGTTCCCAGGATCCCAAATTCTGGTTAAAATTACGGTTAAGGCTAAGAATGGTTTTTTTTGTAACCTAGTCATTCTATCAAAAACAGCAATGAATCTTGTTCCCTGCCAAAGTTTCCAGACCCCTTATTTTAGGAGCCCTTCTCTGGGTACACTGTAGTTTATCAATAACCATTTTAAAATGTATTCACAGAACCGACCACAATATTCCAGACGTGGGTCCGACCAACACAGAATACAATGAAATGACTACCCTCACTTATTCTGGACATCGTATATTTATGAACGAAGCTTGATCTTACAATGGTTTCTTGGCAGTCATGCACTCACATTTACTAAAAATCCTAGGTCTTTCCCCCATGAGGCCTGTTCTTTTACCACTGTTTTTGAAGACAAGAATAAGACTTTACATTTACACTTATTATATTTCAATTTGTTAATTCTAGCCCACTAAGATTTTTGTGAATCTTGATTAATAACTTACAGTTAGATTGTACCTTCCACACAGAAATCTTATGAGGCAGGTAACTAATTCATCGGATGACAGAATTTAGTTATCTTGATTGCGGCTTTTGCAATCCAAAAAATCTGAAAAGTATGGCTTTTGTCACTTCATCCAAATCAACAAAAGTATTAAATAAAACCTAGATCACTGCTGCAAAATACTAGAGACCTCTCTCCAGGTTGACTCTGCTCTATTAATCCACTTATTTGAATTGTCAATCAGTTGTGAATACAACTACACTACACTATCACCCAGCCCATAAATTAATATTTGGTGCCTGTGACATTCCTGCAAAATGAGGCAATCTTATCAAAAAAGTAATTACTTTACCAAAACTGTTGTCTATGGGGAAATATATCCAAAAGTTAATTTATAAAAATGAAGTTTTTGAACCCTAATAGATTGGGGGCTGACTTTTGCTTTTAAATTTACTAAGAAATCAACTGTTACATAAGCTAAAAGGGCTATTTTACAGAGTTAGGTGAAATAATAAAATGCATTTGGAGAAATAAAAGATGCAAAATATCAAGGGAAATGCTGGGAAAAGATAGGAATGAAGGGTATTGAAATAGTATTTCCAGAATGCAAGCTACACTATAAAGCAATAATCACCAGAACCATTCAATACTGGTTAAAAAAAAAAAAAAGGAAAAAAATAGGTCAATAAAACAAGACTAAACACAGAAGAATCAGAATTAATTTGAACTCAGTAACGCAGTATTTGATAAACCCCAAAATATATATTACTTAGGAAAGACAAGGAATTGATGTGAAAACTACAAAGTAGGCTGGTAGAAATTAGGTTGAGATCAATATCCAAAAGATGGAAGCAAAGGAAGGTAACAGTAAGAATAGAAAAACATGGCACAATTTTGTATGAATAGTATCAGGACAAAAATGGTAAATGCTGGAAAGACTGTAGTAAGATAGGAAAGATAGGCACATTAATGGATTATTGAGGGAGTTATCTATTGACCAGTCCAACTGTTCTGGAGAATATTTCCACTGAACTGAATATTCCCTTTGACCCATTGCCTGCACCACTATGCATATACTCCAAAGAGAAAAATTGTCTATATATAAAAATATTAATAGCAGTACTTTTTTTTAAGGCAATTGGGGTTAAGTGATTTGCCCAGGGTCACATAGCTAATAAGTGTCAAGTGTTTGGTCTGAGGTCACATTTCAACTCAGGTCTTCCTGACTTCAGGGCCAGTGCTCTATCCACTGCTCCATCCAGCTGCCCCCAATAGCAGTATTTTTTACAGTGGCCAAGAAGTGGAAATGGAACGCCCATTAATTGGTACTATCCATTGTGACAGATGAATGTAATGGGATATTATTGCACCATAAAACCTGTGAAGTGATGGAGAGCAAAGTACATAGAAGCAGAACAATGTAAACAATGATCAAAGTTTCTCCATCTTATGGGAAAAAAGGAAGGACCAGAGAAAAGATAAGATCACCAGGGTAAACAACTCAAGAGACAAGGCAAAGCTGTTAATTTCTTATTTGGCCTGATTTTGCTGCCAAGGAAAATACATTTTAGACTGAAAATGACATAACAATGGCTCGTGAGAAGTTGGTATCCCATAGAAATAAGGAGATAAAAGAAAATGTTGCTGCACTCAATGAGAATTAAATCACCTCACCCAAACAAACAGTATATCCTGTGATACTATAAGAACTGCCAGCTATGACTGCACCACTGTTTGTGAAAGCTGAAGGCAATGGACTAGAAGGGAGTCAGTAAACGTAACTCCACTCCACTTCTGCCACTAACCAAAGCTATATGACCATGGACAAACCAAAAATCTTTCTAAGCCTCAGTTTTCTTGTAAGCAACTCTCTAAGTCTAAAATTCTATAAAAGGTAGCAAACTTCCAAATTATTTTCTAGACCTACTCATGAAGATGAGGTGGTCTCTCCTCTATACATGAGACAGGGTTAGGGCATTTAGCTTGCTCTCATAAGGTAATGGGAACCAGGACTGAGGAGCAGTGGGGAAGAAGCATGGACAAGGTCTACTTCCCTGCCTCCTCCAAACAGATCTAGAAAATGAACTAGATTTCATTCTAATTGGGAAATCCAAGAAAAAAAATTACAGTGAGCCCTTTTTCTGGCACAAGTGAACTTTGGACATCAGAGCCATCTGTAGACACTGGGGATGGGATCTAGCAGGAAGGCTGTGTACCAGGTAAGAAGAGGTCTCGAATCCAGAAGAGAGGGGAATAAACTCATGCAGGGTACAGGAACAGTGCCAACTGGCACTTCTTCTGCACAATACCCAGTTCTGGGTCATAGATGCAGAGCAGAATGAGGAAGGAACTCATGTTTAGGGGTGGCATTCCAGGTTGAGGAATAGTTTCATGCCCTAGGTCTAGGCTGTGTTCTGAGAAAGCAGTTAGTTCAGAAGCAAGCAGCAGTTGTGTGGTTCTAACCCCAGGAGCAAAATGAGGTATCAGTTTCAGATTCCAGCCCAGTCTGAAGCCTGCACTGGCATAACCAGGGCAGGAATCCTAAACCAAAAGAGAACCTGCAATTCTGTCACTCTGAACCATCAGAACAGCCAGCTATTTACTGAATCCAGCAGGAGTCTACTGAAACTCCAAATGGGGCAAGCTCACACGACTACTGCTCACAACTAACCGTAAGTCAGGAATTTGCAATGTTCAGACTTTGTCCTGGATTAAACCACTTTGGGAGAACTAAAAGCTTGCAGATTCCCAATCTGAGATATCCCTGAGGTCTTGGAATAATACAACACTCAATATCCCAAGAAAGCAGCAATAGGACCACAGCTTCCCTCCAGAAGTGCATACAATTCAGCCCTGATATAAAGTCTGAAATGAGGAAGTAGGATGGGGGAATGAGCAAACAAAAAAAGAACCCCACAATTAAAAACTACTATATTGACAGGGAAGCTGAAGACACAAACCCCAAAGAAGGGAATCTACAAGCAAAACCTCAAAGGAAAACACAGCTTGGGAAACAAGTTCAACTACAGTTCCTGAAAGAGATGAAGCAATAGTTAAAAAGTATTAAAAATGATTTTTTAAAAAAATCAAATGAGAGTGCTAAAGGGAAAAACTAGAAATCTAAGAGCTATGAAAAAAAATGTAAAGAAAATTAACAGCTTGGAACAAGAGGTACAAAATGTTAACCAAGAAACAAACTTAGAATGGCCCAGAGAGAAGCTAATAAGATGGTACAAGTTCCCAGTACTTTACCCTTTTCATCAGTACTCATCAACCCTAATCTGAAAGGCCAATTTAGCTGAAAGCTGAGCTGGTCTGGCTCTACTTAAACAGTACAGTTTACCAACTTACTGTCTGCCAATATGAATGCTTATCCACAAATTATTTTACCCAGACATAGTGTGACAGGAACATAGTAATGTTTAGTCACTGCAAACAAGCCAAAATAACAGAGTAATTAAAAGTACTTACCTTCCTTGCTGAAGCTGTTATTTGAAAGGTATGCCTGAATGGTGACATCACTGAGGGTAACTGTTACATTATTCATAGTTATTTGGTTACTGCTGACACATCTGTATTTTTTATCTATGTCTGCCTGAATATCAGTTTTGGATTCCACACTCACTTCTGTAAAATAACAAAAACAAAAAAACACAAATATTGCATAATTTCACAAAAGTTCCCTCCCTAAATTTTCTCCATAAACTGATCAAATACATTTTTCTTTACCTTCGGAACTTTTACTTGCATTATGGAAGAAAGCTTCATCCGACAAGTTAAAAGTGAAACGTAATAGTTGAACTTGGTAACTCTTTGGAGTCCTTGTGAAATTCATAGTCAAAGTATGTCCTTTTCCAAAACCAATCACTAGGATGGGATTAGAAGCATTCTCTTTACCACAACTGCTGCTATTCAATACCACTGCATTTTGTGGAAGTTCAAAAGTTGTATTCTACAAGACAATTACATTGAAACCTTGTTAGAATAAAGTTTATTAAGTGGATACGTACCTGTGATTTGTTGGGGAGAGCTCACTCACTCATAAGGGAACTCACTCATAAGCGAACTCCCTCTATACCAATACAGATCAGCACTTGTCCCACAACACATATTCTTAGGTAAGATGCCTTTCAGAGGCTAAGTGATTTGACTATACACAACAGGTATGACCCAGAGGTGGGAGATGACCCAAGGATTCTCTGATTTCTAAGGGTAGCTTTTTATTGGCCACTTTACCTCTCTCACAAAGACCCTAAGTCAAAAAGAGTCCAAATGAAATATAGCAGCAAAAACATGATATAAAATGGTTAGCCTATTATATGTTACAATAATAATACTGTATTATAATGAAACACCTTGATATGTTCAAAGGAATGGCATTCCACTGTATTTAAGTAAAAAAATGAAAAAAACAAAAACAAAAACCCAATATTACCTGACAATAACATTCTGTATCTGCTTTCAATTACCGATACTTACAGTGAGAAAAATGTCTGACTTAAAATGTAATACATAAGCTGCCCATTTATTTTTACAACCTATTTTTTCACTGAAATAAGACTACCCGGAAAGTGCAGAGCAGACATTCATGCAAAGCATCAGCTTAAAGAAGAACCACTTCCAATAGAGAGACAGATCCCAATTAAACTCTTCCCGAAGGCAGGCTTTTTTTTTTTTAAAGCTTGTCATTTGGGTACACTTTAGTCAAAAAAACCCTAAGCCTCTTTACCCTTCCAACAATAGGTTAAAAATTGCTTTAAGAGTAAGAATGACAATAGTGTCAACCTAAGAGCTGGTTAAGAAAGAGTTGAAAGTAAACCATGGCTCTGGGTGAAGGTCAAAAAAAATAAGATGAAATTCAATGTTTGTTCAAATCAAGCCATTACTTACCACAATACCACTCTCACTGCTGTAGTTCACAAAAAAAGCAGCTGAGAAGTTAGCCATTATGCACGAAGTTTCAGTTTCATTTTTCACCACAAATATTGAAGATGCAACATGTATGAGTCCTGTTGACAATAGGGGGGAAAATCAAGAATTCAAATAAAATTATCTTTTGGAAAACAGGTCATTTCAAACTGAGGGGTGGTCCGTCCGTCGTCGCCCCCCCCAATCATGAATTACAGAAATTGAGAGCTGGAAGAAACCTCAGCAGTCACCTACCAATCTAATGCATACCTGAAGGAATATCCTCTATACTCAAAGAAACTTGAATTTCTGCTTTTTTGGGGGTGGAGAAAAGCCAGTACCTCTCAAGGCAGCCCACTCCCCTTTGACAGCTCTAACTGTTAAGTTTTTCCTGATGTTAAGCTTAAATTTACCTCTTTTCAACCTATTCTTCTCAAATAGGTTTAATCCTTCCCTCACTTGACAGCCCTTCAAATACTGAACACAGTGATCATGTCTCTTCTGTGTTTTCTCAAATACAGGCCCAATCCCTTCAAATGATCCTCATATCATGTCCTCAGACCCTTCACCATCCTAACCTCCTTCCCTTTGGACACTCTTAACTTATAAATGTCCTTTTTAAACCACGGTGTCCAGAACTGAACACAGTACTCTAGATGAGGTCTGAAAAGGGCGGGAGTAGGATGAAAATATCACCTCCCTATTCTTGGAAGGGATGCCCCCTCTTACTGCAGCCCAAGATTGCATTCACTGTTTTTGGTTGCTATATCACACCCCTGGCTCATAAACAGATTGCAGTTCACTAAAATCCTCAGATGCTTTTCACAATTGCTGCTAACCCCTGCCTCTCCCATCTTTTATTTGGGGGCTTGGTTTTTTATAGTTACCTATCTATTAGATTCAGACCTACATTCTAGCCTGTCAAGACTCTTTTGGATCCCCATTCTGTCATGTAGTATGTTAGCCATTCCCTCTACCTTTTATGTCTTCAGAAAATTTGGTGAGCATAATATCACTGCCTTTATCCCAATCATTAATAAAACTGTTAAACTGCACTATCTTTCCACTTTCAGATCCTTGGGATCCTCCACTGGATACCTCCTTGCCATGACACTGAACAGTTAACCATTATTCTAAGTCTAGAATGCCAATTAGTTCTGATTCTATATATGATCATGTAACCCACATGAATGGTGAGAAATATTTTTATCAAAAGTTTTATTAAAATCAACAGCAATATTGTATGATGATCAACTATGAATGACTTACTACTTCTCAGCAATACTATGATTCAACACAATTTTGAAAGAGTTATGATGAAAAATGCTATCCACTTCCAGAGAAAGAAATGAAGTATTTTTCACTTTATTTTTCTTGTTTTTTCCCCTTTTTTCTAGTCTGTGTTCTCTTTTGCAACATGACTAATAAGGAAATATGCTTTGCATGACTTCATATATATAACCTATATCAAAGTGCCTGCCTTATTAAGAGCAGGGAAGGGAGGGAGGGAATTTGGAACTCAAAAATTATAAAAATGAATGTTAAAAATTGTTTTTACATGTAATTGAGAAAAAGAAAATAAAAACATTCTTTAAAAAAAGTTTTACTAAAATCCATATAGAGGAGTTAGGTGGTACAGTGGATAGAGTGTCAGGCTTGGAGTCAGGAAGACATCCCCTTGAGTTCAAATCTGCCCCTAGTTACTTACTAGCTGTGTGGCCCTGGGCAAGTCACTTTACCCTGTTTGCCTCAGTTTCCTCATCTGTCAAATGAACTGGAGAAGGAAATGGCAAACCACTCCAGTAAATCCCAAATGGGGTCACAAAGAGTCATGATACAATTGACACTGAACAACAAAAATCCACATATAAACCACATCCACAGTATTCCCCACATCTACTAGTAATTCTGTCCTTAAAAAAAAAAAAGAAAATGAGGTCAATTTGGCAAGAGTGACTTGTTCTTGAGAAAGCCATGCTCACTTTTTATATTCACTACTTCCCTTTCTGGTATTCACCAACCACCTTTTTAATGATTTTCCAAGGAATTTAAGTCAAGTTCATTGGTCTACAGTTTTGTAGACTCTATATTCTTCCCTTTTTTGAAAAGAGAAACAAAACTTGCTTTTCTCCAATCTCATGGTGGCCCCTATTTTTCCACACAATCATTCAAATATCACTGAGTGTTGCACAATCACATCTGCCAGTTCTTTCAAAACCCAAGAATGTAGTTTATCTATAGGCAATGCTCAGATAGGTATCAAAATAATAATTCACCAAGAATAACTAAGTCATATGTTACTACCTCCTCATCTTTTTGTTGTCATTTCCAGGGTAAAACTGATTCTCTTTCGAAGAAGGAACAGAAACAAGAACCAGTTTGCTTTCTCTCTGTTGTCAGTTTATCATCCCATCCACATCAAGCAAAAGGTCCTATCTCCTTTCTTTGATCATCCTTTTTACCCCCCCCTTAATATAACTTAAAAAGCCTCAGCTTATTTTGAGGCTTAACATTCTTTACACTATTTTATGGATCTATGTAACTCTCTTATACTCATCTTCTGTTAACCTGCTCTCCTTCTATCCTGTGTACTTTTTTTTTTTAATTTAAGTTGGCTGGTGAGTTTCTTGTGCATCCAAATCAGTACTTTCAAAAAAAAATCCCATTTTTCTTCCTCATTGGATTTTTTCTCCTTTTGGGTCTTCAGAATTTCATTCTTGAGCATTTCTCATGCTTCCAGTCTTCTGACCTCATCAGCATCATCTCAATCTGCCCCCTCCAGGCATTAACGATCTTAACTGACAAATCTAATGGCCTTCTCTCAACCCGCATCCTTATTGACTTCTCTGTAGCATTTGACACTGAAAACTTTACCCACCTACACGTCCCTCTCCTTTCCAGGGATTTTCATGACACTGCTCTCTTGGTCCTACTCCTAGCTTTCTAACCACTCCTTTGGTCTCCTTTGCTGGAGCATCGTCCAAATCATGCCTCTGTCCTAGGCCCTCTCCTCTCTTAAGTTCTCTTAGCCGATTGTCCCACACACCAGAAATGTACTCCCTCTTCATTCTCACCTCTTTGAATCCCCTAGTTTCCTTTAAGATTCAGCTAGAAAGTCACCATCTAAATGAAATGTTTCCTGCTCACTCCCTAACTTCCCTTCCTTGAAAACATAAACTGTTTCTGCTTTTCTCTTTGTATCCCAACTGTTTAGCAAGCACTTAATAAATTCATTCATTCATTCACTCACTCATTGATTCATGTTGTTACCCTCAGAGAATTCTAAGGTCTTTGATACTGGTAACTTTTTCACTCTTGTCTTTTTTATCACCAGCAACTAAGAGAGAGACACACAGGAGGTGCTTAATAAATGCAATGGCCTATGGCCAAAAGTCTAAATACATGAGAATTACCTAGACAGCCACCCTGACTTTTAATCAGCCAAAGTAGTCAAATTTCAGTCTTTAAAACGAGGAGTAGAGCTGGAACTTAAATATATTCTGCATTCCATGCTTCCTTGGCTTGTGGATATGACACTGAACTTCTCTGTCTCATAATGAATGAGGAGGTCCTTGTGCTACAGTATACATGCTATAATAACAGTGCTGCTATAATAGTGGTGCTTAAATAGTGATCAAAGGTGTGGAGGGGTTGTTTGTCCCTACACTAAATAATCCCAGAACACTAAGCTTAAGCACTAATGTCAGCTTCCTTGCATACCTGATTTTCTAGAACCATAGCTCAAATTAGGTATGAGGTGGGAAAAAAGATTATCTCTAAGGTTCTGTGGGAGTGGTGAATTCAAATTCAGTCTAAAATGTAAGTCACTTTACCTGTTTACCTCAGTTTCCTAAATTGTAAAATGGGGATAATAACACCGCCTACCTCCTAGGTTTGTTGTGAGGATCAAATGAGATAATACTTGTAAAAGCACTTGGCACAAAGTACCATATAAATGCTTAGTTCCTTCCCCATCTCCCTAGAACTATTATAACCAATCTTACCAAAATTGTGCGAAATCAAAAACAAGCTTTGAGTGACAGTGGCCTGAGGGAACCTCTATAAGCAAAAAGTAATCAAATCAATTAAGAGTACCTACTATATGCTGTCATACTAGGGGCAGACATAAAGACAAAACCAAAACGTTCCCTGCCCTCAAGAAGCTTACATATTATTTGGGTGGGTCCTGAATTTTTGTTCTCTTAAAACTGGATACCTCTATATAAATTCAAGATAAACCATACTATGTCAATTTTCCTTCCAGAAGTCCCAAATACTAAATTTAAGTCCCAAGATGAAATAACCAATGAATTACTTATTCTATTTTTCATCAATTAATACAAAACTGACTTAAAGGAACCCTACAAAGTTCATTCTGGAACAGCCCAAAATAGAAGGATTTCCTATCTTGTCTGTGATCGCAAAAAGTCCCATTGTATAATTATACTTAATCCTGTTTATCTAAACGAGGATAGGTTGTTCTTCCTATAATTTGATCAGAACCAAGAACTTCTTGCTTGGAATACAATCACAGTTAGAATGCTTGAAACCAGGAGTGATGGGAAAAGTTGCATAAAAATCAATAAAAAAGCAGAAGTTTTGGGTTTGGGGTCAAGGTTCTAAAAGCTATATTGTGGTATGACCTTAATAAATTACTTAACTTGTACAAATCTATTTCCTCATATGTAAAATGAGAGGTGGGGATTAGATTAGCTCCATTACATCCCCTTGCAGCTTTCAATTCCCAGTCCCTGGGATACCAAAATATTATTAGAATGCTTATACATACACATTTAACTACACAGTTTTGATTTAAAATAGTCAGCATGGAAGAGAGGTTATCACATTTAACTATTAACCATGTTCATGTAATTTTCTAAAGAATAAATTTACAAAGTGGATAGAGCACCAGCCCAGAAGTCAGGAGGACCTGAATTCAAATCCAGCCTCAGACCAAACACTTGACACGTACTAGCTGTGTGACCCTGGGCAAGTCACTTAACCCCAATTGCCTAAACAAAGAAAAAAGAAAAAAGAAAAAAAAAAAGAATAAATTTACAAGTAGGTCACAATTCTTGCCAATATCGAAAATACTTTGTACAAGTATTTATCCTTAAGTCAGTGGACTATTTACAAATCAGTTTCCCACAGTTTCAGTAATATATTCCAATATATTAAGAAAGTTTGCTAAGGCACTTTTTAAGAAATCACTTAACTACCAAAATAAAAATGCTTAAGTGGTAATACTCTTCTAACAAAATCTAACAGTTTTATTAGATTTAGAAAGGTTACTACTTTCCTCCTCCGAACCATAATAAATCCATAATTTTGGTGTAGATAGGTATTTCTTCCCAACAGGTCTTTCCTGTCTCTTCAGGAATCCTCCTAGGAACATCTATCCAGTTTGCCTTAGGGTTTTCTTGTGAGCTTGTTAATATTTTTTTCCACGGGTTGCTAGACCTTTTCTCCTCAAGATATAATCCATCTCTCAACCACTCACTCCTTTTCCTGTTAAGTTTATCCTTTATGATAAACTAAGAAATTGTTTAGAAGTTAAAGGCAGGAAAACTAATCTCTTTCCCAGTCTATGAATCAACAGGAAAAGAAATTAGACACTAATGGTGACCTGGCTGAAATTGCCTATTTTATTTTTGTGTGGCTTTCTCAAAACCACACATTGCAAATAAGTAAAATATCCAAAATTACATGACAGCTAGCTTTACGAATGTATTTGAGGGAGAAAGTCAGAGGGGAAACACGTTTAAATAAATCTGTTAATGGTAGATGTCACAAAAATATCTCCTAAATAGTGTATACATAGTTATAAAATGGAAATCCACACCTACACAATTCTGAATATCATATGCACTAAAGCTCCAAATCCTAAAGTTGTACTTTTAGCAGAAAACCTGATACAAGTCTTCTTGTATCAAAAAACCTGATACAGGCCTCTTGATTTAAATTTAAATAAAAATGTTCCCTAGGCAACAAGGCCCAGCCCATTTGATTTCCCTTAGGGAAGAAAAAAAAACCCCAATCATTTATAAGAAAATTATTTGAATTGGCTAAAGTCTTCCAACTGAAAATAAATGCATACATAGTAAGTTTAACCAAGTACCTAGCACAATGCAATGCACCCAATGGAAAGGAAAAATGGAAAGACTATAATAAACCAATGAAGACACTGTAAACCTGTGGTAGATTATGCCTTCTCTTTCATTTAAGGAAGGGTCAATTGATTCTTAATCCATTCAAAAACTTGTCATAAGATTAGGAGTGATAACAGTAGTCAATGAAGGAATATAATTTTTTCCTTTTAATGTAGTCTAAAGGAGCTTTGCTTTTTGCTAGGCTCCACTTCACTTAAATCAAATTAATTTTATTTCTAGAAATTAAATTAATTTTAAACACAGGGTGTGAAAATAAGACTTAGCCTTTCCACAAAACAAGCAATTATGTAATTTTGAGACACACTTAACAAGAAAAGAAGTGAATGGTTGAGAGATGGATTATATCTTGAGAAAACAAGAATTCAACTCATATTATCAATATAGCATCTTATGGTCTATATTTGGAAATAAATTCGATATCCTCCATTTTTTTTGGGTGGGGTAAATAAGGAAGGACTTGCTGATCTCTACTCTAGCCTCATCCTCCAAACACTTTCAAGAGGCTGCCTGGGTTCTAGGAATTCAAGATCTTACTTCTGAATTCAGCAAAGGAAATAAGCTACTGGTGCATGACTAAGAAATGGCTTTTCCTCCCATATTTATACAGGTTAGTTCTGAAAACAACACGAAGAATGAAAGTTATAACACTTGTATGCATTTCTAATAAAAACACAGTAGGTACTGTATTGGTGACTTGACAAAAGAGCTGACTTGTTCAAACAACTCTACCTGTAACTAATTACACACAATGGCAAGGTTCACTGGTCACATGCAAAGGTTTCAAGTTTACTACTGGAACAAGGTCATCTCTGTACCTATAGAAGATTCAGAATTAAGTTAGTGTACGCTCGGTGGTGATTTCTGATTAAACAGGGTAAAGTTTAAGGCATATTTCACGTGTGTGAATATACACACACATTTATATACATTCTACCTTCCAAAAAACCAAACACATTTCTAACACTGATTTGCTGAGAACTTAAAGTAACGGGGGGAAGGGAGGAACCACCACATAGATAAGTAAACAGGTGATGGGGGGAATGGGTCTCAATATTTTGCTTAAGGTATGTTTTATAGGTATTATAGATGTATTTAGACTATGAAAATAGGTGCCAAATTCTTTCCATTTCCTTTCTCTATTCTTCAGTGAGTGCTTTCCAAGAAGTCCTTAAACTCTTTTTGAGGTTCAGGTGTGAAGCTGCACATATCATTTGAGAGGTAGAACATCTAAGTCAATAAGACAACTCATTTATTTGTATAGTGCTTTCCTCTCACAGCCCAGAGAGGAGAAAGGCAGTGAACAGTACTGTTCCAGTTTTACAGACAAGGAACTCAGGCTCAGAGAGACAAGTGACTTGCCCAAGAATCCCACAAGCTGTGGGAAGTGTCAGAAAATCAGAAACCCGAGTCTCATGACTGCAAGGCCATTATGTGGAGCCACTTCTAGCAGAGAAGCAAAAGCGTACAGCGTGCATGTTATAAAAAACTCCCAATCCTGGTTTTTGCAACCCCATTATATTTCAAGGCTGAACACGAAATCTCAAAAAATTCCCAAACCGACATTAATTTGGTTTCAATCTAATTTTAAGAACCAAAGAAAGGGAGGGGTGGGGGTGGTGTTGCGAAATCAAAGGCCGCACTCCAAGAGGCCCTGGGAATCACTTTCCTGGCCTCTCCCTGGGGAAAGCCACGGCATTAACTGGAGTCTCAACCAGGTGGGTCGATTTCTCCGGCAAGATCCGAACTTCTTACAGGCAGCAAGTGCAGGGCCCGCATGTTTTCCTTCGCTCTTGGCCCCGCTGACAAGGCCAGCAAAGACAACTATCTCAAAACCAGTGACCAATCGACAGATAAAATACGAGGCAAGGGCTTAAAAAAAAAAGTTTCGCTTTAGTTTAAATCTCAACTTAAAACGTTCTCCCTGGGGGGCTAGCAAAGGCCAAATCCGAGGCTCCAGTCCGTGTCCTCTCCTCAGGCCTCCGGGGCCTGGTGCTGATCGCTACTACTGGGGGGATTCGGGGTCATAAAACACCCGTTTATGCTACAAGGCGCCCCCCCCACCCCGTACCTCGTTCTGGCCCACATCGTCCTCATCCACTGCAGCTCCTGCAGGGCAGAGCCAACCAAGGCCCACGCCGGCCCGCCGGGCCGGAGAGAGAGAGCCAGGCCCGGCGCAGGGGCCTCCGTCTCCGCATCCCACCCCCCAGCCCGACCTGCGCCGGTCCTCTCTCTCGCCGAGGCCCGGGCCCCTCCCCGCCGCCTCCATCTTACCGAGAAGCAGCAGGAGCAGCCGCTGGGGCGTCCGGGCGCCACTAGGGCCAGCCATGGGTGCAGGAAGGAGTGACGGACGGATGGACGGATGCGGCGGAGAGGGCGCGCCGAGCGGGCCGGGGGCGCGAGACGCGCTCGGGAAAGGAGCTGGGCGACGGTTGGCAGTGACGGCGGCGGCGGCGAGGGGCCAGGGGCACCCCGACTTGCTAACCGCCGAGGAGGGGCGCGCTGGCGGGAGGGTGGAAGGGAAGTGGTGGATCGAGGGAGGAAGGAAGGTAGGGAAAGGGGATTAAGGGTAGAGCGGGGCAAATGACTCCCCAGCCGGCGAAAGAAGGAGCCCCTGCTGCTCCGGCAACCGCAGCTCAAGGAGACCCCGGCGGACAGCTTTGCCGGTCATGTGACCGCCGCAGCGATTCCGCCCCCCCATCCCCCCACGCTGTCACGTGAGCCCCTGCGGAGAAGGCGGGGGAGTGGGGGTGGAGAGCTCTCGCGAGATGACGTGTTCCGAGCGACCGGGGGAGACCGGGCTACTTTGCGCTTTTAAAGCTCGAAGCCCCTGCGCTCTCGCCGTTATTCCAGCCCGAGGCTTCCCGCTTTATCTGATGTTCCAGCTCCCCTCCAGTCCCTCCTTTCCCTGGGGTGGGGGTGGAGAAGGGCTGGGCCGAATTCCCGGGGCAGGGGGTTATCTCGGGGTCTGTGGAGCATTGCATTCGGGCGCGGGGGTGACCCCGGCTGGCTCGGTGGTTCTGGGAATGGGAAGTAGGGAGGGAAGGCGTCTTTTCCTGCGAGCCCCGCCGGAGGATGGCCTCCTGCTTGACCTTCCTGGAGCCGTGCCCTGGTCACCGGAGCCAGAGCTCAGCGCGGGGAGAGGCCGAGCGGGAAAAAAGGAGAAAGCAAGCAAGTGAAGGGAAAAGGAAAGGTTGACAAAATGGACAGTACTTCCGGGGAGGAGAGGAAAAAGGAAGCGGAATGGGGAAGTGGAAACTTTGCTGCAGCAGCTTTGTTTTCACTAATAAGCTGCTTAGATTAGAAGACCACGTCTCTAATAGAGGAACCTTCTCTTTGTTATCTCTTGCGTGTGAGCAGGGTGCCCTAATCTAGCTGCTTTAGGGGTCGAGGAGGTGACTTGACAGCTTGCTGATAGGCACACTAACCCTAGGGTTTTCAGGGTTGAAGAACTAACCGCTTCTTTCGTTATCAGCCAATCGATAGAGGTCACCAGCCCGGGGAAAAGACAGAATCGTGTGCCAAGATCAGCTAGGGAGGCCCGCGTGGTTGGGTGGGGAGGAGAGTGCAATGTAAAACAAGTGTCCATCAAGCCTTCCGTGTGTCAAGCTCTGTTCTGAGCGCTGGGGGGTACTGGGAAATGTGAAGGAAAAAAAAAAGAAAAGAAACGTGGCCCCTGCCTTTGAGGAGCTCACTTAGCTAACGGAGGAGACGTTCTGCAAAACGCTGTACATTCGAGATAGAAACCAGTGTAAAATGGGAGCTTATCCCCGAGGGAAGGCACCAGCAATAAAAAAGAAAGGAGAGAAGCCCTCCCGCAGAGGGTTGGATGAGCTTTGAATCCAGCTGTGGTCCTCTTCGAGAAGGAAGGACGAACAACAAAAAGGATCCAGTAGGAGGGAGGGCAAAGGGCAGCAAGCATTCCAGGTGTGAGGGGCAGCCAGAGAAACGACGGGGAAGAATTGCAAGGAGGGCAGTGAGGCTGGATGCTTAAGAGGATGTTCGGGGGAGTCAAATGTAGGAAGACGCTCCAAAAGTGTGAGGGGCTTTATATGTCAAAGAGAACATCTGTTAAGTGCCTACTAGGATTCAGGACCCGATTTAGGTGCTAGGATACAAATAGTGAAACAATCCCTACCCTAGAGGAACTCAAAACCTCTCTGTGAGAGACACTTGCCTAATATAGTTGTATATACAAAGGAGAGAAAAGATCATTGGGGGAGGGTGGATGCCAGGAAGGGCAACCTGTTCGATGAGGAGCTTGGACTGAACCTTAAAGGAAAAAAGGGATTTGAAGAGTCTGAGGTGAGGAACAAGAATAGGGAGACAGCATGTGTGCAAAGGCAAGAGACAGAAGATTGAGTGTCCTGCATGAAGAACAGTAAGGTGGCCAGTATGGCTGAACTGAAGTGTTTGTAAAATGAGTAATGTGTAACAGGGAAGGAAGTGTCGTTCGGAGCTAGCTTGTGAAGGTTTCAAAAAGGCAAACATAAGGTTATATTTGATCCTACAGGGTATAGGGTGCCACTGGAGTTTATTGAGTAAGGGAGTGATGGTCAGGCCTGTGCCTCAGGAAATTCACTTTGGCAGCTGCATGGAGGAGGATGGTTTTGAGGTGGAGACCTGAGACCAGAAGACCAATCAGAAGGCTATTGTAGCCCATACTGGAGGTGATAAACTGCTCAACTAGGGTAGTGATTCTTCAAATGGGGAAGAAAGGGGACAGGTTCAAGAGAAGTTGTGATAGAATATAAGCTCCTTGAGGGCAAGAGCTGTTACATTTTTGTCGTTGGATCCCCAAAACTTAGCTCGGTCCCTGGCACATAGTAATTACTTTATAAATGAATGTCCAAAACTGAATTCATTATCTTTCTTCAAAATCCTCCTCCCCTTTTTCATTATTTCAGAGGACATCACCAAACTTCTGATCCTTCAGGCTCAAAACCTAGGAATGAGTCATCCTCATCTCACTATCTCTCAACAGCTATGTATCCAAGCTGTGGCCAAAGCCTGTCGATTTCACCTTTGCAACCTCTCTCCAATAGTCTACCTTCTGTCTTCTGACACTGCCACTGTTCTAGTTCAGGCTCTTAGCACCTCACACCTGGATCATTTCAACAGCCTGCTGGTGGGTCTTCCGGCCTCAAGCCATCTTTTCCTTACTCCAATCTCTCATTAAGTCGCTAAAGTGATTTTCCTAAAGTGCAGGTTCAACCATGTCACACACACCCCACTCCACCCAGTAAACTCCAATGACTCCCTATCACTGTTCTTATTCTTGACTATTTGTGACCCTGTGGACCATCCATGGGGTTTCCTAAGCCAAGGTACTGGAGCAGTTGCCTTTTCCTTCTCCAGTGGATTAAGGCAAAAGAGGTTGTGACTTGCCCAGTTACTTGCAGAGCTAGTAAGTGAATGAGTTCAGATTAGAGTTCAGGTCCTCTCCAGGCCCAGCACTCTAACCGCTGAGCCACCTCCATCCCTACCACTACCAGGATCAAATACAAAATCCTTTTCTTGCTATTCAAAAATCTTTATAACCTAGCCCCCTCCTACCTTTCCAGTCTTTTTACGCCTTACTCTCAGTCACATGCTCTTGGATCCTGGCCATACTGGCCTCTTTGCTCGTGATGACACTGCAGTTGCAAACTTGGGTCCCTAGAAGGATTGTGGTCTCCTCAACAGTATTTACTCATTGCGTACTGTGTGTTAGTTTTGTGCTGGGAGAGAGAAGGCAAAGACTAAATCGTGTTCCCTGTGGAAGCAGCACATGGAGTAGTGGATAGAGAGCTAGATTCAAAGCCAGGAAGACCTAGGTGCAAGTCCCACCTCTGAGTGTATGACCCTTGACAGGTCACTTGATCCCTCAGTGTCTCAAGCAACTAAAACCATAAACTACCCAAAGAAGCCATCAGTCCAGTCCAAAAAACAGTTAATTCTCTAGTGAAGAGTAGGACTAATGTCAAAATTAAAATAAAATAAAATGTCACAGCAAAGTGCTATTTGAGGTGCGAGTAACAGTGAAGACTGCTAATACAAATATAAAAGGGAGACCATCCTGACTTCAAGGAGCTTACATGTCCCTTACTGAACTCATTATTCCCCCCAACCCCCACCCCCACACAAATTCTTTTCTTCTAACTTCCCTATTTACCACCATCATCCCAGTCACCCAGACTCAAAGCCTAGAGGTCACTACTCTTCACTCTCCCAGGCCCCCTTCATCCAGACAGTCAATTTTGCCTGGACTATTGCAATAGTCTTCTGGTTGGTCTCCTGTTGTTCAAAGCCCTTTATAACCTCCTCCATCCCAACCATTCCAGTCTTTTTACACCTTGCACACCACCTCATCCAAACATATTCTGGGATCTAGTGACACTAGGTTGTTTGGTACCTCAAATAAGACACTCCATCTCTCAAATCCTGACATTTTCAATGGAATGGTTTCCCTCCTCATCTCTGTTTCCTGGCTCACCTGGCTTCTTTCAAGTCGCAGCTAAAATCCCACCTTCTGTAGGAAGACTTTCCTGACATCTCTTACTTCCAATGCTTTCCCTCTGTTGATTATCTCCGATGTAGCCTGTATATAGCTTCCTTATACATAGTCGTTTGCATATTGTCTCTCTCATTAGACTGAGCTTCCTTTGTATCCCCAGTGCTTATCATAGTGCCTAGCATATAGTTGGCACTTAATAAATGGTTATTGAGTCACCCTAAAGCTCCCCAGACTCCCATATGTCCCCCATCTCATATTTATAAAGTTGATTTTTTTTTTGTTTTCTTTTTTGGCAATTAGGGTCAAGTGACTTGCCCAGGGTCACACAGCTAGTGTCAAGTTTCTGGTCTGAGGCCAGATTTGAACTCAGGTCCACCTGACTTCAGGGCTGGTACTCTATTCACTGCGCCACCTAGCTGCCCCCCAAGTTGATTTTTTAATGCCCGGCCTAAACATGTGGTCTCCTCAATGTTGTTTATACAATTAGAATGTAAATTTCCAGAGGTAAAGGACTACCTCCCTTCACATTTATTCATCCAATAAGTGTTTACTGTGTGTCATAGAATGTGCTAGGCGGTAAGGATATTGAGGCAAAAATAAAACAGTCCCTATCCTTAAGGAACTTCTGTCTTTATTAGGGGAAATAACACATACACACATAAGTTTATGTACACATACAAAATAAATATAGACTAATTGGAGTACACACTAGTACATTGAGGTAATTGGACCATCCAGGCATGTAGGAGGCTGAGCATTGGAAAAAGCTAGGGGTAAAAGTGAGAAAGTAGTATTGTGATAGGATCTATATCTGCTGGGGTTCCTCCCCTCTCCCTGAAATATGGATTAGGCTGGATTTTCCCTAAAAGGCAACAAAACCAGTGCA